TTACACTTAATATCCTGAGATAATCGTTAAACCGGATGGCATTGCCCATCCTTGGCGTGAAGGATGGTCACGGCGCCAAACTCCGAACTCCGGCGAAGTCAGGCGAAGCCGATTTCGAACTGACCCGGACACACTCTGACATTGGTTTGCTGTTAACTCAATTCCCAGGTGGAAAAAGGTGAGGGAACGGAAAGGCGCATGAGTCAGCAAAACAGTATTGTTGAACAAGTGTTTCTCAACGCGATCAAGTGAAAGCGGCGATCAGCTGCGGCAAAACGTGGCAGGAAAGGGTTTAGGGATATAGCATGCAGGAGCCACCATGAATCAAATCGAAAGTGGAAAAGCGTGAACAACAGTTTCAGGTGCAGGTACGTCAGCAAGCGTCCTTGCTGATATCAGCACATCCTGAAGAGCCTCTTTGTTAGATGCCCTCTCTTCAGGTGTGGGGCATCCCCCTGCCGTGGTAGCTGAACAGGATTACAGAACCCTTAGGAACAGGGGTTGACACACACACACACACACGATGCCGCTTCGCGGCGCTCGTGTGAACGACCTGAATAGGTACCTAAAAAGCCTTAGAAACAAAAGAAAGAAACACAGAAAGAGCAGCGCTAAGAGGGCAAGAGAGAAAGGTAGGTGTAGAAAAAATGAATACTTAGCCCTTGACTGGGGTAGGGAAACGAGCCTCAAGAGCAACCTAAAAGGCCTGAGAGAAAGCCCAAGAAACGACCAAAAGCGCAAGAAGGAAAGTGGGGGGGGCAGGGAAGTGTATGTACATGTGTGCGTGTGTCCGTGTGTGTGTGTGTATGAATACTTAGCACTCTAGAGTTACTGACTACTCAGCAGAAACGAATTACGTGCAATAGTTAGGGAGCGGGACTTTAGTCTTAAACCGCCCGGGTAGAGAAGACTAGAAAAGGGACAACAGAGGGAAAGGCACCGACACACAAGTGTGCCGAGTACCATTTCCCTCTGTTACCCTAATTAGGTAGGGGTTAGAACTCGGCGGGGGGGGGTTGGGAAACCTGCCTGACCTCAGGTGGAATTCCGTTTTTTAGCCCGGCGGCTATGTTGTCAGTAAGCAGGTGTTCTCCGTGAAAGCCCGGCGGCTCAAAAGGCGGTTTATTCAGGGTGGAAAGAAGGCAGTTAAGAAAATCCAAGGTTTGGTGGATACGGTCAAGGCAGTTACACGAGTTCCGGTATGAAAACAGCGCCTCCTTGCGGAGGATCACACCCAGCACCCAAGTGGGACGGCTGAGCGGTTCACACTCTGACATTGGTTTGCTGTTAACTCAATTCCCAGGTGGAAAAAGGTGAGGGAACGGAAAGGTGCATGAGTCAGCAAAACAGTATTGTTGAACAAGTGTTTCTCAACGCGCTCAAGTGAAAGCGGCGATCAGCTGCGGCAAAACGTGGCAGGAAAGGGTTTAGGCAGATAGCACGCAGGAACCACCATGAATCAAATCGAAAGTGGAAAAGCGTGAGCAACAGTTTCAGGTGCAGGTACGTCAGCAAGCGTCCTTGCTGATATCAGCACATCCTGAAGGGCCGCTTTGTTAGATGCCCTCTCTTCAGGTGTGGGGCATCCCCCTGCCGTGGTAGCTGAACAGGATTACAGAACCCTTAGGAACAGGGGTTGACACACACACACACACACTCATGCGACACACATCCAAAGTACACTCCCTGAACGAATCATGGTTATGTGGATGGCACCATCTGTTTGGTGCAAGTAACATGGTCATCCTGACAGGCCCATCCACGTATGAATGATTACTTCAGGGAGTGTAACACCGGCGTAACCTTTGAAGGATTTGCTCAACTTTCAAACACTGCTCGACCATTGGTTCAAGCATTGGGTTAGAAGCATGAAAGGAAAACAATCAGCAAAATCCTTCGCCACTCACCACCCAAGAACTTTACCATAAGCGCCAATGGCAATGACCGGCCAATGACCCAGGGGTCGGACCTCCAAACACGGCACCTTCCCACTTAAATTCCGCCAGCGAACACGGCACCTCCTGCAACAAAGTACTTCCCTTAAACAAAGTAGAACAAAATATATATATATATATACAGATGAGATAGAGGTCCAAAAAAAGGTAAACACAGGAATGGACTTGTATGTCTATGAGACGACGGACAGCTATGGTATCCCAAGGCCGAGCAGAAAAGAACAAGAATTCAGGGACAGTCACATGCATCTAGACCAGTATGTAAAGGGGGAGCGACTTCTGGCGATTGCTTCGGCCCTGATGGTGGGGCTTCCCCAGACCACACCCGTCACCATAGCTCGGGGTTGGGCCCCCCTAGCTCTCCTGTCCACCGTGCGTCCGTGCCCGTGCGCCTTGGAGACTGGCTTGCGCCTGAAGCAGCCCCCATTAGAGCGGGCCTCGACTTCGAAAGTTGAGGCCGGAGTCGGCCACAGACCATGCTTCAACTCAGTAGCTCCTGGACTCTCCAACTATTCAAACTGTGGGTACAAGTATCATCATATATATATATAGATTATATATCATCATGTTTATTGTGTATTGGGGTAATCCTGGAGTTTCTTGACTGATTTCTTCAAGTTTCCTGTTATGTTAGAGGCTCCAGGCCCATTAGTTGGTGCAAGCTCGAAAGATACTGCCGACAAAGACCGGCAACGTCGACGTGGGACAGTGGGACAGGTCAGATTTGTCGAAAAGGAACGTCATCATTGCCGCCTCGCCCAGGCAGCCCTTCCCAAGTGGATTACAGGCAGCCCACATGTAGTAAGGAACCAGTTCGTTCGTTCGGCCTTCTGAGGACAACCGCCTGCTCCGCCGACCTACAAACTAGTTGAAACTGGAGCCACTGGGTTCAGATACCACACTGCAGTTCTTCGGCTTCAACCTGGGTGACTCATTTGCACTAGGAGGAATAGCCAGCTGTGGACCTGGAACTTCCCCATTTGCGGCTGGGAACCCATGATCCAATCCAGTGACTGTTGTGATGTGTGTTCGCAGCAGTGTTTTTCACTCACATCAAGCTGGTCAAGCTGTTTCTGGCAGCGCGCCCAACCCCCAACAGGTTTCGTGTACCATCCGAATTCGGATGATCCTTTAATTACCCTGAATTTGCACCCTCAGGCCTTTTAGTTTTGACCCTTCACGCCAAATATGTAAACCCTTTGACCCGGATCCTCCCCCCCAAAAGAAAGACATACCGCGACCCACGACTCTGGACAAAGAAAGGCTTCAGGCCGATGAGTTAACTCACTCCTTCGGAAAGTTTTTCATAGCACAGAGGCACTCACCGAGGCATCATCGTAGGAAAGCAACGAGCAAAAACCACATGATTGGAACGAAAAGGTGAGCAGTTCGGCAGTTCGGTTGTTCCCTTCAAAGAGCAAAAGGCAGCTCAAGAGTGTAGGTGCACTAGCATGCTGTAGCATGTTGTAGCTGTAATTGAAAATCATGAATTGCCAGGATCTATGGGTGAATCCGTGCTTTGTTTCATTTATACTAATCATGCACATGCTGCATGCTGCTGATAAACCCCGCTCACCTGCAAGAGAATCACCACCGCAAGGATCCCACTTGTGGCCTTGAGGAAAGGCATGTTAATGTCGGCACAGGGGCAAACTGGAATACTATATTATACAACCAAAAGTGATGTATCAGAAAGCCTAAAACGTTTCGAAAATTGATGTGGTCGGTGAAGCTGGCGAAACTATCATTATTTTGCAAAACCCGTTCTTC